ATTAAACATTCTATTATAAGTACTGCTATAGCAACTATTCCAAACAAAGTTAGTCGTAAACGCAGCTATAATTACAAATACACTCCTCATAGTACACAACTTTATCTGTCTCTTAAAAAACTTGGCCATCTAATCAAAAATTTAAAAATACTAATATAACTCTAGATATTTCTTCAGTTAATTTACAGATCCAGGATATTAACTCATGATCTCAATGTAATCTCCAAACTCTCTCAAGTTCAGATTCTGCACAAATTCTAGAATGGATAAACCATGCTCAGGATATATGGTATCAACTGTACCAAGCACGCCACACTGAAAACTCTCTTCTTCTCCGTCAACAAATTCAACAAGCTTCTGAGAGGAAATGTGAAACTCTTGTTAGCAAACCTAAACATGCAATCAACAGCATTCTTAATTGCTATCAAGCTCCTATTTATTTTTTAAATATTAAATTATCTGATCAATTGATTACTGAACCAACTCTTATTAAACAACATATACAACAGCACTTTCATGACTGGACTGCTTACAAACCTATCAACCAAATGCTTTTTGATAGCTCTTGGCAACAAGAATATCTACCACAGACCCATACTGATTCTAACTGGTACAACACTCTTACTTTACCAATTACAATTGAAGAAGTAACTTCAATTATCTCAAAGCTTCCAAATGGCAAAGCTTGTGGACCTACTGGCATGATATAGTAGAAATACCAATCGAAAATTCTCACAATCTTAGTAGTAGAAAGCGAGTTAAGTAAAAAAAGTCAAGAAAGTGACAAATAGAGATAACTCTCCTATGTTGAAAAAATTAATCAATGAATTAACTACTGCTTCTACTCAGCAAATTTCCTCAGAAAATACTATCACTTTGAAGTTTGTTACTCTCGAAATGAATAAAGTTTCAGAAAAGATCAACAGTGCTGAATATAATAATCAAAAAACTAATCAAGATATAATTCGCTGCTATCATAACTTTGGGAAAGGATATGATTTATGGTATGATTTTTATAGACAATCGCATAATGAGGACGCATCTAATGCTTTAGTTGATGATAAAATTAGAGGGCATATCCTCGATCAAGATAAAATTACAGAGGTTAATCTTTGAAAAAGAAAGAGCCAAAAAGATTTTTACTTTTTAATGCTATAGGCGGTGAAAAATTGATGGATCGGGTTAAGTAGTTGCATGCGTCAAATATTTTTAATTTAAGTATATAGATGATATTGATTATGCAATAGCTAAATCTTTAAAAGCATCATTTAGCGTTAGCGTTAGCGTATAATTTACTGTGCCAGTGTGACAACCAATGTCACACTTGATGATTGAACTTGATAACGATAAAAAAAACATGAGCTGCACTGAATAATATATCTTTAGAAGTAAACAAAATTTCTTATCTCTCATTTCAAAATACCAATACTTGACTATTCAATCTGATATATTAGAGATCTCCTGATTTCTATCGAACTTTATTTTGATCCTATATAATTCTAGAATTAAAGGATATTATAAGTATTAAGATACGATATACTGTAATCTTCGTCGCAAAAAGGAGATTAAATAGTCTATCGTTATAATGATAATTCTAAAAATTTTCAAAGATACAAATTTTGGGTCAGGCGCAGCGGAAAATTTTCGACGCATTCCCGATGCATATCTAAATTCCAAAACAATCTA